AAATCCAAGCAGCCAGCTCCAACACCAGATGCCAGCAAAGATTCAGTGCGAGTGGGCCTGTTTTTAAATGGTCATCAGAAGGGCGAGCAGACAGTAATAATACCAGTGACTCATTGCAGCAGGACTGCTAGCCTCCTGTCAAGCCTGAGTCCAAGGTGGGTTCTAGAAATAGAAGGTAGACCTCTGCATCACCTTGCTTCCTATATGTACAATAGCATGAGTATAGAATTTAACATAAGAGTTTGTCAGGCCTTACAAGTTTTGGGAATGTTTATTTATAGCTGAAGACATAGAAAATAACGAGGTAATACTGATAATTTTGATAATCAGATTACATCAGGAAAGTTTACTAATGAAAATAGAATTTTTTAAATTCACCAGTTGTGCTACATTAGTGCTTACCTCATGTGTGCTATTGATTTTTAAACATCTTAACGAAAGTGTTCAAAAGGACTGACTCACCAAAACATCTTGAAAGAAGAAACAGTTGCACACCAGCTCTGAGAAACACAGCATCGCCAAGAATAGACAAAGACAATGCGTAAATACAAACTGCAGTCTTGGTTATTTTATTTATAAAGGGAAAAAGATCAATACCAACTTGAGCCTATGTGAAAAATAGTTAAAATAATTTTAAATAACGTCTTTGTTACATTTTAATATCGCGTATTACAGATGTGGAGACAACATGGAACAGTTTAACTTTACCATCAGTGGTGAGTGTATTAAGATTACTCCAAGAGCACTTCAACAACTTAAATAGGAGAGCACAAAAGAATTCACTAAAACATCTAAAGTGCTTTCGATCTTTCCAACATACTGTCATGCAAAGTTTGATTGAATGTTTCAATTGTAGAAACATTACAAACGACCACACACCTGAGAACAATAGAGATGGTTTTCTAGAATGTGTTGCTATTGGGCAAATTGTAATTGTTCTGTCATATCAACTACTGTAGTATTAGCAATGTAACATGCTGTCTGGAGATGAAGAGAAAGAAATGCAATTCTAATGGGTGCAGGAAGGGCCATGGGAATATCCTGGAAGACATCAACCGTGGAAACAGCTCAGATCAGTTATGTGACTTAATGTTTACCATGTACAAAAGCATTTGTGGATACACAGCTACTATAGCTTATAGTTTCCTTCCACATATATAGTTCTTATTTGAGATAACAGAGCAAAAGAGGAAAAATATGCAAGGTGTGGGAAAAAAATAGCACTTAAATTGTTTGATTCAGATTGTTTAATTTAACTTCTAATCAATGCATGACACACTGCTAAACTGACCACCTGAGATTAAATAATTATGAAAACAGTCCTATGTGTTGAACAAGTTTGGCATATTTTTTTTTTTTTTTGTTTCATCTTAAACATGAAAACATACTGACATGTAGCGTTAAGTTCTAAAACATAATTTCTGTTGCACTTAAAGAGGTGCAGGTGTTGACGAAATTGTTGGCACAGTAACAAATACAAATCATCTCAACTCACCTCTTCTTTGCATAATTCTCACTTTATAATCAGAACACACTCTGCATTCAGGCAATCTTTCACCTTGTCCTCCTCCTTTTCACGGTGCTCTTCGGCTATTTTTTCTCTTGCTTCATCCTCTTTATCAACTTCTCTCTCTATATTTTTTCCACACACACTTTCTGATCCCTTTGCTTTGACCTTCTAGTTAAGCCAGCACACATTCAGGCCTCCCCCAGCCTGTGACATCAGAGCCGGTCAATGTGCAGAAGCAGCACCTGTCTACGTAGTGATCCAGTGCTGGCTGTATACCTTTGTTTCCGCTCTCCTTCATTGTCTCTCTTTAAGTGGCGAACAGAGATGAATTTGCTGATAACATCACCTTTAGATGCCTGTTCTCATTTTGATGAAACCTGTAGTGAAATATGTGGCCTTGGTGACTGCGGGGGTTTAGTGTGCGTATGTATGATTTTCATGAGTCGGCACATTTTCAGCACCTAGGAAATGACTGAGCACCTAATGCACTTTCAAGCTCCTGCTGCAGGAGAGTGTCTCCATGCACACAAACATGTTAGATTTCAGTTATGAATTAAACTAGGCAAATCCTACCCTCAATAATATAATCTGAGTTTATTTTTAGAATTATATATAGGATTTACAAAATGCAACCCTGATTTAATGCCTTTCTAATCCAAATATATGTTGAAACTACAGGAGAGGCAAATCATACATAGCAGGAAATTCTTATCAAATCTTTACTTTAAGCCCCCTGTTCTATTTCTAGTAATTTCTAAGTACCATTTTTTTATGAGCAAGGACAGTTTCTGAGCCTTCTCTGTATCATCACAGCAGCAAAAAAATAGGCAAACATGCACATGAGCAGGACACTAATGAGGACTAGTTCCCAAACGGCTGCCTAGGTTACACTAGAGATCTGTCTTGAAGTTGGCAGACAACGATGCCTGTGAAAGAGTTTTGAATCTGTGCATACTGTTAGCATGGAAGAGCAAAATTTTCAAGGGTTTAAAGGTGTTAGACCATCAAAATAGATGTAAAAAACCATCAGTGTATTTTGTCAGGATCACAAAGACCAGACTGACCACAAATCTAGATCAAATTCTTTTAAATATAGACTGTGCTCCATCACATTGCCTTTTACCTCATGAGCTTAAAATCTGACTTATAATAGAAAAGTAGCGTGAATTATAAAAAGCCCAAGAGGTATGTTTGAACTTTTTGAGTTAAAGGCAAAAAGAAATATTTTTTATACAAATCTTGATCCAGAAGTACAGGCTAACTGCTGTTCAGTGGCAATTTCTTATTGAATACTAGGGAGGATAAACCAAATGTATTTTCCATTCTGCTATAAAGCAGCAGGACAGATGTCAGTCTCTATTAGAAATCCCCATTGAGGCTCTAGCCTCTTTATATTGAAGCAAGCAGTAAGAAAGAAGGCCCTGATTGAATACCACATCGAAATACGTCACTTCCAGTGATGCAAAGCCCCTTAGGAGGTCTATGGAGCGGAGGCTCGTCTTGAAGCTGGCTGCTCAATATTCATTGGCAGAACACTACTTTAGGAGTTTTGACTGACAGTGACCAGACAGCGGGGAGGTTTTCCTCATGAGACTCAGGCAAGACAGGAAAAGTGATCATTTGGTAAGAACACTCATCTTTGATAGAACTCTTAGCACAGTTGCTGGACTTTATTATTTCAGAGGGCTTCAAAACAGCAATTTTTTGCTGTTGCAGTGATGTGTTCAAACATTTGTTAATGCAATACGTTATGTTTGGATTTCATTAACACTACTGAGCCTCCTCTGCTTCAGAGAGCAGCAGCTGCCATTGTTGAAGTTTAAACATAAAAAGTTTCTATAATGGAAAAAATCAAAAATATGTTAATATGTACAAAATGAACGAACTGCAACTGGAGTGAGAAAAGTTCAATAAATATTTACAGTGCATGATATAGGGATAGTGACGACCTAGTGGTTAGGGCATAGAGCTTGGAATCCTAAGGTTCTGAGTTCGAACCCCACTCCCACAGACTGCCACTCTGGGTCTCTGAGCAAGACCTTTAACCCCCCTTTGCTGCCCAGGTGCCCCACGATGGCAGCCCACTGCTCCCCAAGGGCAGGGGTTAAATGCAGAGGTAAATTTCTCCAATATGAGATTGATAAAGTTCAATTATTACTATTAATTGTTATTATTTAATGTTTTCTAGGTTTACTATATTAAAACTAAGATCTTTGTTAACTGTTTACAAAGAGAGTTTATGACCATGTGATACCTACAGTAAGTATGCACACTTCTCTGCAAACCAATCATGCTTGAAATAACAATAAAAGCAGTGCCAACAATGGGTTCAATCTGACACTTCTTTCAAAGGTAACTGTCTATATTTAGCAGGTAATGGCAACTCGACTCAACAGCTTCTAACATGCTGCATTGTTAATGAAAAGCTCAGATGGGTGTGAAATATGTCTGAGTTTTGAAAGACTAGAGGCAACAGTGGGAGCACTTTTAAGCTTGAAATGTATTCACATAACAATTAGCTGCTATTTATACAGACAAATATTCAGTAATTAAAAGTCCTGTAATATATACGAGCATTTGATAATTCAAATCTGGGAGAGAAGGAATGATAAAGCCAATGCTGACCCATTCCCTGTTATGATCCAGGTCAGGAGGTACAGTACTCAAAACGCTGTAATGACTGTGAGATACAGGATTGAATGCAGAACAAGCATGACATAATGAGATGAAACAAAGCTAAGAGAGGAACAGCTGCTGCACAGTGTGATGTACAAACAGCAGCATCCATAAAGCAGGCATACATAGGAGGCCAACGGACATTTGGTCACTTTTTCTAGAGTCATATTGACACCAACCATGAGTCTTTGACAATTCTCGCAGTAGAGCAATCTGTAGTTGGAGCACTGGTGTTTTTAAGCAACATGGAGGTCCTTCTTTATAAGCACATTCTAAGTCAGGTGCAAATCAAAGACACAGCCATCATTCTTCTGGGTTTCTGGAGTCAATACCTGTGTACTGTATAGGTTGTCTATGGCAGTGTGAGTCTGCAGTTCAAGCCTGTTTTGTGGTTGCCATGATCCTGATGATTGTGAATGACTGAGACAAACAGCAGCTTCATTTTTTTTATCCTCCATTGTATGTCTCATTGAGTAAACATGTCGATCAATAGAATCTTATGCAGATAATAGCATAGTGAGAGGGGTGCACAATAACCTTCCTGTACTGGAGGCACTGAAAAGATTTAGACACAGATTTCAGCCAGGTTTTACTGGAAGTTTCATGTATGCTGTTAATGTGAATGCTGCTGAGTTCATATCGACACCATCTTGGTTCTTCAAACCCAACTGCATGACCTGAATACACAACCAGCCTATGATCTAGTTGGTGAACGTCTGTGATATGAATGGAAAAACAGTATCAAGCCAACAGCATGACAGAAATCAACCTTTTAAGTCAACCTGCTTAAGTTCATTATAACTGTGAGTTGTACCTTTGTCAAGTGAGGCATCTGGAGAGTTAAAATCCATGAGGCTGCTTATTTCAGTCTTGTAGCAGAGGTCAGTGGTTGGGGTTTTTTGCATCCGTTGAGGAGAGGGATCTGTGTAAAAGAAGCAAACAAAAGTTAAAATTAAGAGTTAGTTATGACTGTCAGGAGCCTGGAATATATTTCAGTAGGATAATACAAAGACAAAGAACTTATTATTAGGTAAAAATGACATTTCTGAGGGGAACTCAATATGTGCATGCCTCTAACCAAGCATGTTCTGGAGCTGACATGATTCTTCCTACCCACCACAACAATCAACTCAACAAAATCTCCCTCAGTGCTAACATAATGAATACCCTATACTCAGAACCCAACACAGCCTACTATTCATTAACACAACTACTAACACTAGGGAGAAATGAAATGCCCTAGACAAAGTAAAAGCATGTAGGCTTTTACTGTTGAAGGTACTCTAGACTAATATAAATGTAGCTTCTTTTTTAATGAACACAACATAATTGGATTTCTGGTGGTGTTCAAAGGTTTCACACATTGTTTCAAACTTCAAGAATACTGAATTACTTTTGATCAGCCAAAAGCAAAGTGCTGCTTTTTTTTTTTTTTAGAATAACCCATTTATTGGGAAAACTAGATAGAAGATGAAACATTTTGAAACTTTTGCATAATAATTATAAAAATAAATCCCACTATAGAACATTTATAGCTGCATCTCCTTCACTCAAGTTCTATTACCCACCTATTAGGATGCTTTTACAGGCTGAATTACTTACAGTAATTGAGCACAGATGTGTGCTTAATGAGGGCTTTGCTGTCACTACATTAGCAAGCTTACTCTTTTAAATATGAATTATAGGGCTGCAAATAGAAGTCTGTCTATAGATGGGTAATAATGAAGTAGACTTCCAGATTTTTTTATTCTCTATAAATATATAAATTCTGCAAGTCTATGCAGCCTTTGGCCAGAGAAACAAACATGTCAGTTTAGTTTTTTCCTTGAGTAATGTTAAAATTCACTCTTCATATTTTTCTACAGATTCCATGGAGCTGCCTGATAGTCTCATGAAAAATATTTTTATCTGCCTAGCATCAAGCCTTGGACAAGCCCTCACAAACATTTACAGTACAGACTCAAGGGAAAGTTAAAAAGCATATGTGGATAAATTAAGTGAAATAGGAAATCCATGAAGGCTGCTGTTTAATGAAAAAAAAAGAGAAGCTGGTACAGTATGAGCAAACACAAAAGAGTAGGCTCAGGTTAAAACTGATAAGTAATAAAATATTCAAACAGAATAAGTGTTGCTTGTCTCTAAAACTACATTTCTTATTGCTTGAATCTTTGCTTTTATAGAACATGTCTCTGCAATGTCACCACACCTGACCTTGATTCAATGATCATTTGAAATCCCTTTGGAAGTCAAGTGAGGCCTGACTGACTCCTACAGTCTTCAGCTCAGCAGATTTAAGTCAAACAAATAATGCAAAAATGCAGGAGAACCACAGAAACAATTAATAATACCATGTCTTCAGCTGCCCTGGTTCTCTGCAAGTGAAACGACACCTTGAAGGATTATTGATGCTTTCCAAAAACTGAATAAATCCTGCTTTTGGATAATAATAATAATAATAATAATACATTTTATTTAACAGCGCCTTTCTTGACACTCAAGGTCACTTTACAAATAATACAAAAAAATAAATAAAAAGAGATGGAAATACAAAATACAGATACAGGAACATAAAAACAGAGAACAAAAAACAATTATGGATAGGGAAAAGAGCAGTGTATTCACAGATAAGCGAGCTGGAACAGATGGGTTTTGAGTCTGGCTTTGAATAAGGGGAGAGAGTCAATACTGCGGAGGTCAGGAGGAAGTGAGTTCCAGAGCTGGGGAGCAGAGCGGCTGAAGGCTCTGCTCCCCATGGTGACAAGTCGAGCTGGAGGTACAGTGAGGTGGATGGAGGAGGAGGATCTAAGGGAGCGGGAGGAGGTGGCAATGTGAAGGAGGTCTGACAGATATGAAGGAGCAAGGTTATGGATGGCTTTGAAAGTATAGAGAAGGATTTTGAATTGAATTCTGAATTGAACTGGGAGCCAATGGAGTTGGTGAAGAACAGGGGAAATATGATGGAAGGAGGGGGTTCTGGTGATGACACGAGCTGCTGAGTTCTGAAGAAGTTGAAGTTTATGGAGAGATTTATGAGGGAGGCCAAAAAGAAGAGAATTGCAATAATCAATACGGGAGGTGATGAGGCTGTGGATAAGGACAGAGGCAGTATGAGTGGTGAGGGAGGAACGGAGACGGTTAATGTTGCGAAGGTGGAAGTATGCAGACCTGGTAATTTTATTTATGTGAGACTGAAAGGAGAGGGAGGAGTCGAGGATGACACCCAGACTCTTGACCTGAGGGGAGGGGGAGACTAAGGAGTTGTCAATGGGTAGTGAGAAACTTTTGATTTTTGATAGGGTGGATTTAGTGGCAACGAGGAGGAGTTCTGTTTTATCACTGTTTAGTTTAAGGAAGTTTGAGGTGAACCAGTCTTTAATTTCAAGTAGGCAGTTAGTAAGGGACAAGGGGGGGAGAGAGGAAGTGGGTTTACTGGATAAATAAAGCTGGGTGTCATCCGCATAACAGTGAAAGTGAATGTTGAATTTCCGGAAAATACTGCCAAGGGGAAGAAGGTAGGTGATGAAGAGGAGGGGGCCAAGAACTGAGCCTTGAGGAACACCAGTAGTGACAGGGGAAGGGTGCGAAGTGAAAGATTTGAGCTGAATAAACTGAGTGCGGTCGGAGAGATATGAGCGGAACCATTCAAGAGGGATGTGAGAGATGCCAAGAGAGGATAATCTATTGAGGAGAATGGGATGAGAAATGGTATCAAAGGCTGCACTGAGATCGAGAAGGATGAGGATGGAGAGGAGTCCAGAGTCAGCAGCTATAAGGAGATCGTTTGTGATTTTTATTAGGGCAGTTTCAGTGCTATGAGAGGGGCGAAAACCAGACTGGAAAGGTTCGTAAAGACTGTTGAGGGTAAGAAAGGTGTGGAGTTGAGCAGACACAGTTTTTTCAAGTATTTTAGAGATAAAGGGAAGATTAGAAATGGGACGAAGATTATTAAAGTTAGTGGGATCAGAACCAGGTTTTTTCAGAATCGGGGAGACAGATGCAGTTTTGAAAAGTGAAGGAACAATACCAGAAGAGAGTGAAGAATGAATAATGGAAGTAATGAAGGGGAGGAGGGAGGTAAGACAGGTTTTGACCAGAGCCGTGGGGAGGGGGTCAAGAGAACAGGTAGAGGACTTGGATTTTTGAATGAGGTCAGAAATTTCAGAAGAAGTGGGCAGTAGGAAGGAGAAAAAATGACTGGCTACGGGGGAGGGGCGGAGGGGAAGTGGGAGGCAAGGCGGTCATATGTAATTGCTGGTGAATGGAGCAGATTTTTTCATTAAAGAAAGTTGACAAAGAATTACAGGTCTGAGTAGAATACATGTAAGAAGGCAGGGTGTCAGGGGGGTCAAAGATCCTATGCATTATGGAAAAGAGAGACTTGGAATTTCCATCATTGGAACAGATAAGATCAGAATAGTAATTTGATTTAGTAATGGCTATTGAATTTGAATATTGAAGTAGATGATTTTTATGCATTTCTTTGTGTATGGAGAGACCACTTTTTTTGTGGAGGCGTTCCAGTTGCCGACCTTTGGCTTTCATGAGGCGGAGCTCAGGAGTAAACCAAGGGGCAGAGCGGGAAAAGGATACAGACCGGGTTTTGAGAGGGGCAAGGGAATTGAGAATGGATGATCTGTTAAAGATTTCAGATAAGAGGATAATTTCTTCCCCTTGCTTTCAGCTCATCTGTGCCAACAAGAAAAATGTTTTCACGAAGACAAGAAATCCTAAGAAAGACCCCAGGCAAAATATATGGATCTGCCACTAAGTGTAAAATAAAAAAGGTAAAATGAAAGCACACCAATGCGTAATTCAGATATTTTAAAGTATAAATAATCAGATTATTTCCAGGTCATACATTTTTTTTTTAATAATCTGATAACAAGTTTAATGCAATTCCACCATTGTTTATCAAACAAATAGTAATATAACCCAGATATCAATAGGTGTATATGAAAATAAAGAATTTAAAGTGTACTTGGTTGTTTTTTTTTTATTCTGACTGTATAAATGATGATTATGTTTTTTCTGTAAACTTCAATACAGTATGCACATTTTAAAAAATAAAAACCTAATTCCATTCTAAACATCCGTGTAGGGTCCTACTCACATTTTTAAATAATTAGTATCAGCGTTCCTGATTTAAAGCCTGTTGTTCCAATGTCATCTGTTTCATTTAAAAGAGAGAACAAAGCTAAGAGAGCCTGTTTTAAATACAAGTAGAAAAGGTCTAAGCACAAGCAGCAACATTCAAACAGACGCTGAATATATCTGTCAAAAAATATTAAATTTGGTAAAAGAAACAGCTTTAGAGAGGTGATCATTTTTGTGTGCGGCATCACATTGAATGTATGAAAGCAGAGGTTTGAGTGAGAGCGCTGTAACATATATCAATGAAATCAACAAATCTTGCAATCAAAATCAATGCTCTTTACATTAAAATTATCCCATTATAATTTATCAACCTTTCATGGAGTATCATACAGTATATTAAAATATCATAGCTGTCAAGAAATCTTCATATCAGTGTGTGTTTGGAAAAGGATTTTCGTCCATCTTTGTTTTCTAACTGCTTCTGTGTGTGCAGATTAATTAGCTCTGTTGTAGTAAGACTAATCACTTAAGCAGATTTACACCTGCAAGGTCAAAATAATTCAGGAAATCATGAACTGATGCCTGAAAAACTGTTTTGCAGAGACAATAAAGACATTTTCTAGAATGAGTACACTGCCATTCCTGTCAAAAAGGTTGGCCTTGTAACATCTGCTGGCCAATCAAAATTGTTCTTCAAGGACTGCTTGTCTTGTGCTTTTGCATTGATGTATGGGAAACTCTCAGCCATGAGAGAGTATAAAGCAGATAGTACAAAACTTTGTCTAGTTCACATCAGACAGAGCATTGGAAAAGACTGTATCGGTTTTC